CTGGGCATGGTTAAAACTCAAGACAGCGTAAGCACAATTATTCCAGATATTACAGGTTCCGACAAGTAAAGAATTTTTATAGTCATGCCACAAATAAGCTATATATTGATTATTGACCATTTGTGACATGCTATAACGAGCAAAAATTTAAAAAAACTAATAGGTAGGTTTAAAATTAATAAATACAAATGTATTCTGGCAGTGAATGAGTTAATTATGCTTTCTATTTGCAAAACTCCTCAACCTTAACACAAAATAAGAAAAAAAGTGAATTTTTAAGAAATTTGCGGGATTTCCCGGGATAAGAAAAATTTCCCGGGTTAAAAAAACAACCGGGATCCCGGAATCCCGTTTCAGAAACCCTACTGTCCATTATAGAAAAAGTCTACCCAAGAGAAGTTTAGTGAAAATTACCTTTCAATGAAACATTCTTTAAATGTAACCTGTACTCTTTTTATTTACGAACATGTAATACACAAGCTATGCAAAAAATAGCAATGTGACACATTATAGCAGGGATGGCCAACACGTAGACCGCGGTCGACCAGTCAACCGCAAAGGTTTTGAAAGTAGCCCGCGAAGCTAAAGTTGAACAATTTGCTTTCACTTAAATTAATGTTTAAAAATCTTAATTTGATAATTTATTCTTACAATAATAGACTGTCTGTGCAACATACCCATACTGTTTGTATTTATCCCGATGAACAATGCAAATGAATGTTAACACATGCGCATATAAAAATCCTAAAATTGTTTGCCCATATTCATAGTCGCCCGCAGACTATATTTTACCAAAAAAGTAGCCCCTAAGGGATAAAAGTTTGGCAACACCTGCATTATAGTGATGAAATATCATTAGAAAGTCAGTATATTTAAAAAAATTCAGTTAGGTTTGTTTTGTACAACTGATTATAGCAATCTGCTTCTCATTATTATGCATAATGTCACTTATCTAATTTATACAAAAACTGCTTAAGTTTGTTCATGTAGTCCAGGACATATCTGCATGACTGTATTGATGTCTTTGTAGCAAGTGTTTTTATAGCTGTGAATAAGCCATTGCCATCATCATCATTTTTATTCTTCCTTTCTTGAATCTCAGAAAATGACTAAAGGATAGTTTTTATATCTTGACTTATGCATTCAGCTGTAATGTCAGAATCTATGTCAATGTAATAGTTTGCACTTAAGTCAAATCCTGCTCTATTCATGAGACTGTGTTACCTCTGTGAGGGCCCGGATTTAAGATTCGAATATTTTTATTCATTAGATTTAAAGTTAGGGTTAACTCAAAAAGGAAAAAACAACCGACAAATTTTCTCATAAAAATCGCTCATAAAAACTCCTTTCCCACCACAATACTTCCCTGTAGAAGATGAGTTAACTGTTGTGTCATAAGTTTAGTCACTTCACCCACCATTGGTCGAAGAAGATCATCACCTGTGACGTACATGGGGAAATCTCGAAAAAAGAGCCCCATATAAAAGGCAAGTGCAATGACGACACAAGGGGGGAAAATAAGTTCTTTTTTCTATACTGTGTGTGTGGATTTAACTGCATCTCGTCTCCACCGTCTTTAATAGACTTTGAACTTCGA